AAAAGAAAAGAGAAAGCTTATTTTGTATGAAGAAAGGAGAGGAATAGTCCTCTGCTGAGGCAGAACTGCACATTAGAGGGCAAAGGAAATAATTCACATAGATTTAGGGATGGAATTTCACCTCATTGTTACTGTTTCTGCAATGTGCATGAACAGATTCAGAAATCTTCAGGCTGCTTGAGACATAGTAATATTTGTGAACTTTTTTTCCAAATGTCTTTCCTATAGGAATAATTAATTGTTTTTCAGTTGATTTGTGGTAAGAAGGTGCTCCTGTCTTTTCCACTGAGGATTAAGGCACTAATATATTATACACAGTACTAAAATGTTAATAAAATAGAGTCCCTACACCAATGGTTGCTATTAAATATAAAGAATGCTATATAGATAGAAGATCAGATGACAAAGACTTTAGTCTTAGAGTGAGACAAATGTGAAAAAAATGTTAGAGAAAGGATCGTTCAGATATATTTGTATGCAAATAATTGTTATACAGAACTGAAGTAGATAATCAGATTTTATGTGCACTCTCTATAAACCACGTGGCATTATTCTCTCCCCTGCTGTAGACATACATGTTGTTATGCAACACAGTATGAATTTCTAATATATCAGAAGTGCTCCTTTAAGTTGGCTTTTTACAATTGTAAAGGCACACTTACAGATCTCCCTCGTGTGTGAATTAATATGAATTCTTTTTGAGGTTTCCTTCCAAATGGTTTATGTACATGCTGTGAAAATTTGAGAAAAAATTTTTAAAATCTACTCTGTGTTTATTTTCTGTATTTATCCTCCTCAGCGCTGTTTAAATATCTGACACTTTGACACTAAATCTGTGTCAGCATCTGATTTGTCACTGTAAATATATGTACATAAGCATATCTGGGATCAGGGCCTCATTTATTTGCTGGAATGACTGGATTACATTTGGCTAGTCAATAGGTTAATTCCAAGTTATCTCTACAAAATAATCCTTGTTTCTCAAGAACTATGTCTATTTTGTTCGTGGTATGAACAAGGCTTTAAAAGCCAGACTGCCACGCAACATAAGAAAAATCAGACGGGGCATGCACAGCAGTGACCTGATATGGGCAGAGGTGTTCTGTGGGTTCACTTGGGATTTTTATTTGCCTAACAGAGCACAGCATTAAATTTTGAGGACTCTGGTAGGGAAATTGGATAGTGACCTTTATTTGAGCACTGTCCCAGTAGTTTCTGAAAACTACCCCAGACACAGTCTTGAGCTCATCATACTGAATTCATTTTCTCTTAGTGCTCATATCCAGTTCCCTTCTCCATGCAGTTTATATCATGTAAAGACATAGGAGAAGGATAGTACTAGAAAGAAATAGAGCTTTTAAACACTTAGCACTTGCTACAGGAACAGCTTCATCAGTATTTATAGGGGTAGCAGACATCTCCCAGTGGTCTCAGAAACAGAAGCACAGCAGGGCAGGCAGCAATGGGACATTGAATTCTCCCCTACATTTTTATGAAAAAGGAAGCACCTCTGTCTGTGCTGTTGTTTGTATGTACCTGACATATAGCCTTTGCCTAAATCCATACACTTTCTTCACAGCCCTGGGCCACTGTCCTCCCAGTGGTTTAGGACTGTCCCTTGCCTCCCTATGCATCTTCTCTGGAGGAAACCAACTGCCCATTAACACACTTTGCACCTTTTTTTCAGTGCTCCACGTGGCTGCTCCACAATCTGCCTCTCTGCTGTGACTAAATATTGCCATGCTTACTTTCACATGCCTCTTCACAGGAAATGTCTCCTTCTTATCACTGTTAACCTCAGGAAATTATCCTTCAGTCCCTACTGCTTCTGGTTCGTGAAAGCAGGAAGCACTGTGATAAGCATAAATCCCACTGAGCTTTGCATTTCACATAAAGTGTGCTTGGATTTAAAATGGAGAGCAACAAGATCAGGTGAAATATAGTCCTAGCAATACCCTGGGACAGAAGAGACACGCTAAGAATATATGATATATAAGCTTGCATGATCTTTAAACTGTCTGATTTTTCTGTGACGTATCCGTGAGTTGTTAATTCTCCAACACAGAGCTCATAACTGAGAGACAGTCAAATATAATGACATGGGACTGTCTTTAAATAAGAAGTGTAAAAAGACTGTTAATATTTTTTGAAAAATTGAAGTTATTGTTTTCCCAGACTCATTCCAATAAACATGATATAGATATACAGCAAAATGATATGTCATACTTATGGATTTTGTTCCCCCAAATGGACAAAATGTATTTATCCTACTCAGTATCTTGAATATGAGTGCCAGAATGGTACCAGTAAAATCAGCATTATAATATCAATATTTAATGAATTTTGTAAGACTTGAATATTTGTCTTCAAATAGAAAACTTGAATTCTGCATAGAAATGAAACGTGCCTGTCTTTGCTAATTAATATGATATCAGAGATGTGTATGAGCAGAGTGTGTGTTGAGTAGAGTTTAACCCCAGTGCTATGGAAGTCTTAGGAGATACTGAAATTTCTGGATAGGTTGAGGAAACATATCAAATCAGATTTTGAAAATGGAGGCAAGGTTCAGAAGACCCCAGGCACATGAACAGGCTTTATCTCCACACAACTCTTGTGATACCCAGAGATTTATGAGACTGCCTACATTTGCCCCCTCACTTCTGGGATGTTAAGTGGCCACGAAAGTATGGATATTTCATCCCATAAAGCTCTGCAATATAAGAGTGTCAGAAATTACTACGATGCATGACTGAATTTAAAATTTAAAAGCGTTCTAGTCCACATTTTTGAGGTATTTTAGGTTTGGATGAATGAATGTGTTGTTTAAAAGAAGTCCCTGTTTCTTGTAGTTTTCCCTCTTTCTGTTGCTTCGCTCCACTTTTTGACATAAAATGTACACATTAATAACTATTTTGCTGGTAACTGAGAATCCTGATTTAGCTAGGCTGAAACAGTTTTCCCAGTTTGGTCTGATCAGAAACTTAAGGCCCCAGCTCATATGTTTGGATGAAAGATAATATGCTTTTATTGGCTGAGTTAGCCTTACCTGACAGAGCAACACATTCCTTTGAGAGCTGAGCTGTATTTCTTGCTAGCAGGCATTACATGACACAAATGTGAGCAGTTCTAATGAACAGATAGTGAAAGGGGCTTCATTCCTCTAATGTCTACCACCACCCCCAAAAATATCCTGTTAGGCATGCATACTTTTTCTTTCCTGACTTCTAGTTATAGGGGAAGGAGGCAGGAAGGACTGGGAAGGGTGAATGGAGAACCTAGCCATGTTGATTAGTCCAGGTCAGTGTTCTCTGGGCACCCACTTCACAACCCAGGCATAGAGTTGGGAGCATTTTCTGGCATCTTTCCTCACCATCCCTTCTTGTCTCCCTTCAGGACATTATCGAGGTTGCTGCCTCTTTAGAAATGCTGACTTAACTAACTTTCACAGCAGCATGTGACCTACATGCTAATTCACAACTCAGTTTAAATCCAGTTGGTAAAGCTCCCAAGGGCTTCATAGGTGCAAGATCCTGCTCTAAGATCTGTTTACATGACAGTCCAACAGGCTTCTGTTTTTCCAGGGGCTTTCTGTTAGTGGTGCGGAAAGGGAAGCAGAATTATAGCACTTCTAGTCATTAAAATACAAGATGTTAAAGGGAAGGCATACCTGAAGGCAGTGGGGGATCATCCCATAGCATGGACAGCATCATGGGGAAGCTGTAGGATTCAACAGGGAAAGGGTCAAGTGAAGGAATGGGCTGTTCTGGTTAAATATCAGAATAGGCTTCTGCTTCTCTACCACAAACACTGATTCAAAGGACTTTAAAGATGTTTTAGTGGAGTTGGGGTAAAATAGAAAGCTATTAGTTACTCTTGAAATCCAGAAATTATTGTGAAGAAGTTGAGAATAAAGAAAGTCAACAGGTTTGGATTCTTCTAAGTAGAAAGTTCTTACCACATTTAACAAGTTCTTTTTTTTTAGATGTTTAATGTTCTCTCATAATTCATAGGGTTGTTTAATTGGTCCAAAAGCTTTTCTTTTGACTGCCTTGTAAGCACCTATTTCATTGCTTTTTTGAAAACAGATGGGAATTTCTTTGCTTATTTACTGAATGCATTTTTGCCTTCCTGCAGTGGATGATACAGTGGTTGCTATTCCTTATGGAAGCAGGCAAGTTCGCCTCGTGCTGAAAGGACCCGATCATTTATGTAAGTAGAAAAAGTTAGTGTACATTTGTTTAAGAAAGCCTTGCTAACCCACAGTGCTCTGTTTACACTGTGGTGTCTGGTTTCCCTCTCTCAGATCACTGATTTCGACACAGGGATGAGTCCTGCCCTCAGAAGCTCTCCTCGGACCCAGTTACATCCGTGGTACACTCTCTTTTCAGAGCAGAGCTTGGCCAACATTGCAGAATCCTTTGCCCCTCCATAATTTTTCAGTCATTTCTGTTTGCTTATCCTTTGGCTGGCTTGCTTGGTGCTAAGTGCTTTTGTTTAAAATTAATAAAATATATCCCACTGAGTGAAGAAATATTGAGGACAGTAACGTATAAGCTTCCCTACAGCTGAGCTTAGCCATTGAGCTGCTCACGACTTTAACACATGTTTCTGTTATGGTAATATCTCTCGCTCCCATAGATGCACACGCACGCACACATGCACACACACACAAAATCACAGTCTAAAGATCAGGAACAGCACGCATAAGTCAAACCATGGTCCTTAGCAGTGATATTGCTCCAAGGAGTTAAGCCCACTGAGTGCTGCTAGCCCCTCACTTGGTGGCTATAACACTTCCCTGCTTCGTCTGACAGGGAGCTGCATACCCCAGCAGCTGTGTATCCCTCTTCTTTGGGAGAAGAGTCTCAGGATGTAAGAATATGCTGGGAGACCTGAAGGCAAATCTATTTCTTTCATGCATAGCAACTCCTTGCATCCCTCTTTTTACCTTCCAATACAGTAGCTACTCACAAGCTGCTGCTTTTTTCATCAGCAGCAAATCAACACTAGAGTATTGGTAAATAAGATTTACTGTCAGAAAAAAACCACTAACTGTACTGCATATCCTCTCAGAAGCACAAATTATTGTAAGATAAGTAGGGCTCCCATTCTTCTTTTCCAAAAGGCAATAGGACTTCCCTGCAGCATGGACCATTTAGAATCCTCTATGCTTCTCACTGTAAATACAAACATTAGTGTTAGGAAGGAGGTGAAACACCAAACCATTCACACTGTCTCCAGATTTGTTTTGCATAAAGAACTTATACTGAGTGGCAAAATAAAGGGTAGTTTTATCAGTCCTGTTCTATAGCTCACTGCTTGTGTTGAGAAAGCAGTGGGCATGCCATAACCTTTTAATGGTTCTTCAGATTTAGAGCTGTGAATAAAGACCAGCAAATTACAGGTTATAATCTAAGAAAAAATATATTATGTTTTTCTTAAAAGTTCAAATGCTGCCTGTACTTCAGCTTTAAGTGGCCCTTCGGGTATTCCTGAGCTGCTCGAGTATGGTTGTTATTACTTTCCCAGTAAATGATTTGCACTTTTCCTTTCTCTCCTGTCTTCTTTCCCAGTATAGATGTTCTCTTCCAAGGTAGAAAAATTTCATACTTTTATTATTTTTTCAGTGAAATTGAGCTATAAGACAGCTTAGAGAGAAATGAGATTGTAGCAGGACAGATTGATCTAAAACTGTCTTCAGTCAGCCCCTATCATGTTTCAGGACAACAAAATTTGAATCAGCAAGGTCTGCCTGAGTCACTGGTTGAGATTTAGATTAACTGCTCTGTGTAAACATGCATAAGTCCAAATACATCTCTTGTTTCAGATGTCTCCATGAATCTTTCTGTTCACCCATCAAAGGGTTTTATATATGTATGAGCTACAGTCAGTTGGGGGGTGAGGGAGTATTTTGCCCTGTGAACTTTGGTTGTGGGAGAAGTCAACAGGAGGCCAATTATATATACACAAGTCTTAAAACCATCTTTATCCCTGATGCATGCAGCCTTGTCCAGAAATAAATATATGGCCGAGTGCATCACAAAGGAAGAGACTAGTCTCACTGAAAACCAAGGAATTCATTAATACAGAGCAAATTCTTAGCGTACTGCCTCAGCAACTTCCTTCATGAATCAATTCCCATGACCCATCCTGAAAAGCAGCCTAATTACTGCAATTATCTTTCCCTCCTAATTACTGACTTAATACATGCTAACAAAAACATTTCTTCCATTTGCTGTCTCTGAAAATACGATTCCGCCACAGATTAATAGTATGTCCCCATCTAATTCAGATTTTGCCTTAGCTGCATCTCTATGTGGGAGAAGATTTTGTGCATAATTTCACAAACACAGGTGAAAGGAGAATAGCTTTGCAATCCGTCCTGATGAAATGTGTTGTCACTTTGAAATAACTACAAGAAACAGTTTACTGGTGAATGTGCTATAAAGCATAATCTGGAGTTGGTGAGGAGTCTAGCTAGATGATGAAACAGATCTATTTTCTGACTGTTGATTTTCATTTAATAAATTATTTAATATGTTTATTATGATTTAACAATCAGAAGTAACTGCTACCAAACAGTATCAGAATTAATGCCCACTTTTTGGGAGCTGTGCATGCAGAAAGAGCCAGGGGGAGAGCTCAGGAGGGCTCAGCACTTGCCTTCCCTTCCTACTCCACTGTGATGGATCAGACCACTTCTGGAGAGAAGGCAGGATTGCTGTCATACTGATCTTTCTTTCCTGGATGTCTTGCTTTCAGTTAATTATCTACCACAGCAACATGTGGTTAGTGACCCACCTTTGAACTGAAAGGGGAAAAGCAACTTAACAAAGCCAGCACTCATGGGGGAAGGTCTGAGTCATGTTCCACATAGGAGCGTGACTTACTGAGAGAGAGTTAAACAACAGCGAACATGCCTAACTAGGACTGGATTAATATGTCTAAAAGAGAGTAAATACATGACCTATGGGTGAGGAGGTGAACGCAGAGCTAGAAACCTGAGGGTTGAGCAAAGCCAAAAAGCAGATGGAGGAGAAAAAAGAAAAGGAACATATAGGAATCTGAATAGATGATGAAAAAGAATGAAAAAGATGCATTATCACTAATTTAGGGGGCAAATCTGCACCACCACTGTTTTGTGTTGGTTTTCTTTTTCTGCTCTCACTGACTTCAAATCATAATGCTCTAGTTTCCTGTTAATTTGTTTGTATTTGTCAGATTTGGAAACCAAGACTCTCCAAGGTGTGAAGAGTGAAAACAGCCTCAGCTCCACAGGCTCCTTCCTTGTGGACAATTCTAGCATCGACTTCCAGAAGTTTCCTGACAAGGAGGTATTAAGAATACCTGGGCCTCTCACTGCAGACTTCACTATCAAGGTGAGGGTCATTGGTCATTGACCTCTTGGAGCAACATAAAGTAAGACAAGATGTATTAGAAAGATGAGAGAGATTTTTCTAGATCTTAATTTTCTAGCAGACAAAGCCTAGTCCAGGCTAGCTCTTGAATTCTACATGAAATTCTTTAGAGTTAAATATTTGATGAAAGCTTCCTTGGGCACTCCTTGGGAAAGAGACTGAGTTTATGCCAAGAAAGGCATACCCAATGTGTACCCTAAAGAGAAATGATGAACTCATTACAAGAAAAGGCAGATTACTTTCTATATGTGCTGCTCAGGTACATATAAATCAACGAAATACAGCTTGCTTTGTCTGTGACAAGCAAATAGAAAGAAAGTTCGTATCTTTGGCCCCTAATTTGTGGGGTTTATACTAGTGTGATTGCACAGAAGACTGTAAGCAAGTGGAGAATGAGGTCCCCAAGCTCCAAAATAAATGGGATGACTTTGCTTGAGAAGTCATGGTGTCATTTTGAAGTTCTGCTTTGTGTTGCACTGGCAGTGAGAATAAAATTGTTTCCTCCCATTAGAGCATTTCTATTCTTCCAGGTAATATAAAACACATTGCTGGAAGCAATGCACACATTCTGTAGGAAAACACACATACAAAAATGAACATTTGGGAATTACAATAAAATAAATCCTTTTCCAGTAGGTCCAAGGAACTTGAAGGATTTCAGCTGTAAAACTGTAAAACCTGTATCATGTCCAGGACTACACAAATTTTTCACCATGGGCCCCAGAGGTAGATGACATTTTCTTTAACCTAGAGCTGATGGCAGCTAGAAGTTTAAACAGTGATCTGGAAAATGCAATAAGTGATGGGGTTGGGTTTAGCTGAGCTGGGCTGGAATGGCTTAGCTTCGGAAGTAGCAGAGCCCTGTAGACTGTCCCCTACTCATCTTGGTATGCTAGCAGTACATAAAAAAAAGCTGAAATTATCAGGACTGGTTCACAAGGAGAAGCCTGACCTGAAGAATGCATTCCTTTCTCTTTGAAGGTCAGAATGAAAATGCCTTAATAAAACAGATGCTAGTCAATTCAAAATGTCTAAACCACTTTTACCTGTATTGCAGATTATATCCAGATGATGAACATCAGTGCAATGTAAACAGTATCGCTCATTTTGCATTGTGCTGTCTGTGGATTAAGGCAGCCAGGTTAGTTATAACATACCTGTTGGGGACAGCTGGTCATGTAGACCAATGGCCCTGAAATGCTAATAGGAGGGTTGGACTGTGTTCTTGGTATTCCCATGTTATCTTTTACGACAGGGAAAATACCTTTGTCCCTTGGTACTTGCATTTCCTGCTCTGTCAAAGCCAGGTATGAAGCGCTGGTTAAAACAAAGGCAATACCTTACGAGCATGAGGACTGTCTGGCCAATGTGATTGTACAGGCTGGCTAGGCATGGGCAGAACAGACACTCCTGAGTTTAGATTAAGCTATTTTAATAGTTCTGGTGTGTTTGCACTTTTTGAAAATCAGAGTAGCGTAGCTCAGCAGCTGTTAATTTATTGGCCTATCCATTGTCTTAAGTGGATATAGAAAAATGCACAAACAAAACCCCTGTTTACAGTTGTAGGATCTTTTCTAAGGTTAGAATTAGATTTTGCCTTGGATCGGGCACTTAAAAATTCCTTCAATTTGAATCACAGTCAGTTTTTTAATAAACAGCTATAGAAGGTACTTTAGACATTACGTCATGCAACAAGGATATTATTCTATACTATTTATTTTTCTAACAAAATATTTTAGCTTCTGGGTATTTCATTTGTTAAATTTTGTTGGATATAAGAGTGTACATACAAATACGGCTAATACAGGAGTAACAAAATGCATGCATACCTCTCAGTTATGTCAGACTTGGCAAGTGCTTTCCATACTTACTATAGCCATGACCATGACTATTTTGCCTTCAGATTGTGAAGGTAAAGTACTTTTCTTTAAAAAATCAGATGACAGGCTTCTCTGTGGTATTAGCAAGTTTTCCTTACAAAGTGGGATCTCCTTGGATGTCAAGATTTACTTTCCTGGGACAAGGCAGTTTTTATGCAAACAGATCTAAATTAATTTGTAGATTTAACAGAACTCTAGCTTTAGGGTCATTCTCTGAATGATTGTTGTAATCCTTTCCAATTGACCCTGAATGCTCTTATTCAGAGAGGTCAAGTTAGACACCTGGATATAATTCAGAAGTAGAAACTCAGTGTGGGAGCTGACATTTAAGTTTCCTTATTGGTGACATGGAGTGCTGTAAAATTGCAAGAAGAAACCTCATGCTGCTACTGTAGGAGATTAATTGTATAATTGCTAGATTTCTTGAATTTGTAATAGTCAGTGGTATGTTTCTTGTGTACTAAACTCTTGGTAATCTCTTCACAAGATGTGTAAATGGTAAAAACAATTCAGAAAAACAGCTCTCTCTTTTTAAAAAAAAAAAAAGTTGCTATCACAAAATGGGAGAAGAATTGGAGTTTTTCATGTCCTTATTGTTTATATTCCTAGTTTGAGAACATAAATCTCCATTATAAACTTTTAATGTTTGAAAGACAGAAGACCTGGAAAAGATGCCAGCAAACTTAAATTCCACTTGAATTTTGTTTCTAAATTCTGAGGATTTCCCTGTTTTGATGTTTTTAACACAAAACTCTGATTCAAGTGAATAGAAATGCCTTTTTCCTAAAGGAAAAAAGTGTCACATTTGATAAAATCCTGGTGAAATGAAGGTCAGTTTCACTTGGAAATCCTTCTGACACTGTGACTGAAAACAGAGCAGTACTATCACATTGGGGAACTTGTCTTTTCTGGCAGAGCTGCCACTCATCTGCTGTGTTGCCAAGGTCACATATTCACCTGTGTGTGGTAAAAAGTCTCCTCTGTCAATATTGTCCATTAGACACAGAATAGAGAGACTTGGAGTGACCATTTCATGTCACACATCTGCACTCCTTTGAGCAGGATGAATCAATGCTGTCAGATGAGGTCTACAGCTGATAACGTAATGCTAACAGTCATCACCGGTCAACTGTTCAAAGCAATCAGCACTGCAAATATGAACCACCTGAGTTACAGGCTTACTGAAACAGCTGATAGGGAATGCCAGGGGAGGGTTAGGCTGGTGAAGCACAGCCTGTGAGGGTTTGTTTTACAGGCTGTGGGTTTTGCATAGCTAGGGCCCGGAGCCCTGTGGCTCAGGTATGAGGCAGCAAAGAACAGTGGGTTTAAAACAAGGTCTCATAATGGGTGTTGTCCAGGCTTGGTGCTGGTTTGGAGGAGAAACCACTGTTGGCCTAGATTTAGGCTAGACTATGTTTATGTTGGTTATCAATCCCTGGTATCAAGATGAATGCTTTTTTTATAGCGCTTGCATGGACCAACAGCTTTGCATCAGGGATGTATAGGATTAGATAAGTGTGTGTCTGGAGGTATTTGGATTAGGGTTGGCTTTGTATTGATGTTGTCTTTTGTAGTGCTAGGGCTGACAAGCTTTGGTTAAGGGCTGCTGCCAGAAGAGACAGAAGAGACTGCCTGGCTTTTTTTTTTTTTTTTTTTTTTTTTTTTGGTGTGTGTGTGTGCTGGTGGCTGGGGGTACTGCTGGCTGATTTAGAAATGGCATGGACTGGGTTCCCTTGAGCAGAGTTACTGCTGAGGTTAGGATTTTGGCCACCAGTTGTCCAAAAAGTCATAAAATAGAGCTCTAAACTGCATGCTGAGTTACGCAGAGCACTAGAACTCGCCAGACGACTCTTATCTCAGTTGTGATCTAGCACTGACAGAAACTGCTGGAGAGAGAAATGCATTTGATGAGAGTCCAAGTTAACAAAAGAAGATAAGGTTGGGGTTTAGCCTAGACTTCCTGGGACTTGCAAGGGCATGCAGGAGATAATGCATGTACAGGCAGCCAGCTGGCAGAGAGGTTGATGGGCCTTGTCAGGGTAGGGCCAGGACTGGATTAAATAATCAGTTTTTGAACCAGGAGCATACAGTGATTTACCTTGTGGAATGAAATAAGGAATTACTTCAATACTCACTTTAGGGCAGAAGCCAAAAGATGCAAATCTCTTCCAGCAGCAAGGACCTACTGTTTACGGCTGGCTTATAGCTGGATTTTAGAGATATTACTATATGAGGTTGGGGGTGATGACAGTAAGGGTCTTCTGTGTAATTCAGTTCTGATGCTGGCAAAGATTTCCAGAGGAGATTATGCCTCATATTTGGGAGAAAGCTACAAGTCAGGCAGGAAGTGGTGAAGGATCTAGTCTTGGAAACACTGGTGGAGCAGAGTTAGGATGGTGCTCCTGGGAGCAGATGAGCTAGAATTAAGGCTGAGTATACAGAAATAGTAAGTGTTAAAGTTTAGTTGTGACTGAGTCAAGTTTTGTGTTACCGAGGTCAAATGATCAAAACACTTTGCTTAATTTAAAAGAGACATTTGAATATAGTTCCTTACTACCTCCTGAGATATGTGTCTTCCTGAGGTCACTTCTGTAGCGCAGATTTGACTTCACTGGAAGTGATTCTGTAACATGGTCTGTATCACTAGCTTTTATCAATCTTTGTTGGCATTCAATACTTTTTTTTTTTTTTTTTAGCAATAGTCATAAAAATCACCCATTTTGGTTTCCTGATTTCCAAAAATTATACGTGTGTTGTAATAATTTCTAGGTCAAGCTCGCAAGTAATGCCCAGCCTGAAAAGAGACCTAATTATTTATCTTGACTAGATCTTGTGACAAGTTCTGAAAAATCCTACCCTTTTTCTCTTATTTTGGCAAATATGGTAAAATTTATGGATAGCCATTTTTTAAAAGAATATACAGATTCTATTTCATATCTACCTTTTTTTCCCTGTTCAATGTAATTTATTTCAGTTTATTATACTTAGAACGCGATCATTCTCCTAATCAGCATATTCCATCTATGAGTACATTGGAATTGCTGTACTAGGTCAAGCAAAAAGTCTACTTCACTCAGGTTT